TTTTTCTCTCGAATAAATAATCTCTTTTTCCCTTCCCCTTTCCCTTTCCCGTTTCTCCCTTCCTTTCCTTTTCTTTCCGTTTCCCCCCTTAACAAAAAAAAAAAATATCAAATTTTTTTTTTTTTTTTTTTTTTTTTGGGGTCGGATTGAAATTTAAGGGAAAATTTTCTTTTTTTTTTGTTGCTCGTACTCCGATTGCCTTTTCCGAGGGAAACATACGCACAAATTTTTTTTTTGGGTAATGTCCCAGGTGAAATGTATTTACGCAATGACCTCCCCCCCTCAACGGTTAAACGGGAGGAAAAGTGTGTGGGATTCGGTAGAATTTTATTCTCAGGTATTTAAAAATTCCCCCTCCCCCGTTCTCTTTTTATTTATCTCTCTCTCTCTCTCATTATTGATAAGTAAATTTTGTACGTCATTCTTTAAAGTCGCCGAAATATTGGGGATTCCTTTATGCATCTTCTCATTTTGGATAAAGTTTTTTCCCTTTTCCCGGAAAAAGGTTAGGCGCAACCCCAATTCCTTACTCTCATCCCCTCTCGGTCTGAAATTAAACTTTCAGGATTTCATATTACGATATTTTCAGTCAATTCAACCCCTTATCAACGTAAGAAATTTATTTTTAAAATCCCCCGCCCTCCGCCCCCTTATTTAAACATCATCCTCTATATCTGTGGTGGTCGGATTTCAGGAGTCCACGGCGACTTCCGGTTAACTCCCGACACACACCTTTCCATTTCCTTTTTTTTTTTTTTTCCTGTATTTGTACTTTGTTCAAAACACGTTCGCCTTATCACAATGTTCACTTTATTTTTTTATCATTTTATTTTTTTAAAAGCATAAAAGCGAGGGTGGGGGAGGGGGGGAAAGGAATAGAAAATTGTTTTTCCTGTAAATATTAAAAAAATACTTTTTTTTATACAAAAAAGGCGCAAATACTAAAAAAAAAGGGTAGGAAGGAAAAAAAAGGAGAAGAGAAATAGAATTTTTTTTTTTTTTTATATATATATCAGGAGGATAAATGGAGGAAAGAAAAAAAAATGGCGATTACCGAGATTGACGTATGTTTTTGTTCGATATTGTCATTTGGATTTATTGGTTTTTTTTTTTTTTTCTTTTTTTTATTCTTTGAAATTTTCAATATGGTTCTCCGAGAAATTGTTTTTAAATTGATTGACGTAAAACAGTATAAAAAAAAAAAAAAAAAAATAAAAAAAAACGTTAAACTGAAAAAAATCTTTTGCATTCGTGCATCACACACACACACACGCTCACACATACAAATTTTATTATCCCAAAAAAAAAAAATTAATAATTTTTAATTATTTATTTAATTTAAATACGGTGGGGGGAACGTGTAATTACACGTGCGTAAAATTGTTTTTAAACATAACAAAAAACTAGTCGAATAAAATTAATTTTCTTTTGTCTTTTGTTTCTCGAAAAGTTTTTACAAATGTTTACAATAATAAAAATCTTTTCGTATCATAAAATAAAAATCGTTATTGGATCACATATCGTATAATAATAATAATAATAATAATAATAATAATAATAATAATAATAATAATAAATGACTTTTGCTTACCGCAACCGATCGTAAAATAAAATAAAACAAATTGTAAAAAAAAAAATAAATAAATAAATACGAAAAAAAAAAAAAAATGTAAATAATATTTACGACGCACTACTACCACGACTACTACTACTACCACCACCACCACTACTACTACCACGACTTCTACTACCATCACGTGACAACAAATTCAAAAAAAACGTTTGCCTCCCCAAAAAAAAGAAAATTAATTCGAATGACGTTTAAAAATTTTTCCCAATTCTTTTCAATTTCAACATAATGTTATTATCATTATTTTTTTTTTTTTTTTTTACGTGTTTACATAAAAACGTTTTTGTTATTATTATTATTATTATTATTATTATTATTATTATTATTATTATTATTATTATTATTATTATTATTATTTGTTTGTTTAATGAAAATAACGAATCTTCTTCTTCTTCTATCGATTATTATTCTATTCTATTTACGAACGAATGTTGTGTGTCAGGACGTGTGTAATAATAATAATAATAATAATAATAATAATTTAAGTTCACGGAATACATTAAAAAA